GGGGGGGGGGGGGCCAGGAAAGTGAAGTGGAAACAATGTGAAATACACCAGCTCTGAAATCAACAAGCTGCCGGCTCCCGGGTTACCCAGCTAGCGCCCTGCGTCCCCACTTAAAGGGACAGCGTACCCGGTGGAAAGACAGGGGGTTTTATATATACATATATATATACATATATATATATACATAATCCATGGCAGCGGGCGGGCTGAAGCGCCAGGTGCACATACTCCATCCCCACCTCTACCCACACCCCCTGCCTTTGGTGGGGGCTGGGAGGTGGGGGAGGGCAGGGCTTCCAAGCGCATCCAAGGAGAAAAGGAGTCTTCCAGGCGATGTCTCCAGCGAGGGCCTCTGCAAAGGCACGTTTTCACCCCCATCCCCACAACTCTAACGTCTTCGGGATGCTGAAGAGAAGGAAGTAAAGCAACATTTGCTCTTTTAGGCATAGATTTGCCAAGAAGGATAGAATCAAGCATATCGGAAAGGGATGGTCATCCAATGCTTCCTATATACCCTCCCCTTAGCTGATGAAGTACCCCTGCTTTTGCCCCCAGGTAATGAATTTCCTGGATAATGACTGCCAAGAAGAGTTCACATAGAATGAGTTCGTGTGGTCCACCCTGTGCAGACACACTTGACAAGGGAAACTGACGCCGTGGAGGGGGGCAGGGGAAAGAATTCCCCCCCCCCGTTCCAATATGGTCGAATCCCCTCATTCTGTGAAAAGAATTTGAGCAGTCACTATTCGCCAGAGTGCATGCCAGCTTCCCAGTAAAATGACACCAGCCAAAGGATGTGGCTCCTAAAATGGAATGAGACTTACCTGGCAAGGCAGGTTCAACTGCAGCCCTGCCTGGTCCTCTAAACCTGGTCCTCTAAATTTCAAAGGTGGGTTAAGTGTTTGTGTGACTTGAACACTAAAGCCACCACTGATGCCTCTTAGAAACAAAGGTTAGCATCCCCCTTTCTCCAAAATGCCTCTCTTCTCTCGCCTATAAACCATGATTTGAATTCATGGCCTTTTAATTGTCTTACCTGGGTTCTCATAGCCAAATGCACATGCTGTTTTGTTAGACTTGGAAGGATGTCTAGGTTCTTGGAAAAGAATATTCATAATAGGTATCTCACAGGTTGTTGTAAGAATTACATGAGAGGGGCTGGGAAGGTGACTCAGTGGTAGAGCGCTTGCCTTGCATGCCTGAGGCCCTGGGTTCCATTCCTCAGCACCACATAAGCAAAAAGAAAAAAGCCGGAAGTGGGGCTGTGGCTCAAGTGGTAGAGCGCTAGCCTTGAGCTGAAGAGCTGAGAGACAGCACCCAGGCCCAGAGTTCAGGCCCCACGACCGGACCCAAAAAAAAAAAGACATGAGAGAAAAGCTATCAAGCAAATAATATAAGGAATGGCATGCTCAGTCCTTCCCAAGGGGTTAACTATATTAACTTCCATTGTTATGAACTTAATTTTTTGGCCACTGAGTTGTGATCCCACCAACATGCAGATCTAGTCACAGCCACCATCACCCCTTGTAATTTCTCTTTATCATCCTCTCAACTTGATACCAAAGCCAACCTGTCTTTTTTCTCAGTTTCTCTAAGCCAACAGCTTGCGGTCTCCACCCAGAAAAATTTCATGTGACACTGGTAAATTTGAACCTTAAGCTGCCGATTTTTTGTATGTGTATGACAGTACTGGAGCTTAAACTCAGGGCTTTTTCTGCTCAAGGCTGGTGCTCCACCTTCAGCTTTTTACTGGTTAGTTGGAGATAAAGTGTCCTGGACTTTTCTGCCCAGAAAGGCTTTGAACTATGATCCCCAGATCTCAGCCTCCTGAGTAGCTAGGAGTATTTGTGCCAGCAGCAGGCACCTAGCTCCCACTGGGTTGCTGTTAATGCAAGTCTCAAGGTTCTGGAGAATGAGATCTACATCTTCTCCTACGAATTTGAACTCAGGTCCTAGTGCTCACTACACAGGTGCTCTACCACTTGAGCCACACACAGATGCCCTTTCTTGTTTTTGTAATGTTTCAAATAAGGTCTCATATTTTTGCTCAGATCCTCCTAACTATAGACTTCCATCTACATGGGATGACAGGCACATGCCACTATTCCAACTTATTGAGATGAGATCTAACATTTTGATCTTTGAAAGGCAAAACCCCTGATCTCTGCTACAAGGGTGAGTCAGGAGCCTAATTTAGGTTCCCTTCTTACACCTAACTTGGTAGATTACATCTATAATCCCAGCTACTTGGGAAGTAGAGATCAGAAGGATCACAGTTTGAGGCCAGCCCAGGTACAAAGAATGATAAGACCCTATTTGAAAAAACAAAACAAGAGTATAGCTCTCAAGCAGTAGAGTGCAGAGTGCTTGCCTAGATGACTAGGTTCTGAGTTCAAAACCCCAGAAGAGGAAGGGGAAAATGCTTTCTCACCCACTTACTATGAAAATGCTTAGACAGATGGATATTAGTGGACTAAAGAGACCGTGGCTTTTGTAGCCTTGCTGCAATGCTGTAGCTTCACATAAGATGGTGTTAGCATTAGCCTGAGCCACAGGAGTGGATAGAACTCCAGCACATATTGGTCAGCTCCCATGGATGAGTGTGTCAGGGGTGTCTCAGTGACATCAATCTCATAACCAGGCAGGCATCATAGGCAAAGCAGCTGAGCCAGTTACCCCATGAATCAGGATGGTTTTCTAGTCTACCTCCAATCTATGAAGTTCAAATAGAATAATACCTTAAGTTGGACTGGGGCTGTGCTCAGACATGGATATATAGCATTCACCTAACATAGTGAGGCTTTGGGTTCTATCCCAAGCACCACACACACACACAAAAAGAAAGAAAGAAAATCAGAACATTTTGTCATTTTCCAAAATCATGGATGAAACAGCTCTCCTCTCTCTCTTACATTTCTGTGACTTAGCTCTGGATCCCTACCCTCCCCTCCCTCCCCATGGTTTTTAATGGCTGAGTCAGTGAATGGTCTCTCTTGTTTCTCTTTGTCTGTTCTATGCCAGCCGGATCAGAATTCTGTGAATCACTGACCCTCAATGAGACTATTTATTTAGAGAATACAGCTGAACAGTAAACACCTTTTGCAGGCTCTTAGAGAACCATGATAAAATGGTGTAACTACTCCCTGTTAAATTGAAGAAACAGGAAAAAAGAATCCAGAATCACATTCCCTGATCAATCTTTCAATCTTGTGTGTGTGTGTGTGTGAATTCATGCACATACGCACTAGAACTTGAACTCAGGACCTGGGCACTGTCCCTTAACTTTTTTTTTTTCTCTGTCCATCCTGGGGCCTGAACTTGGCCTGGGCTTTGTCCCTGAGCTCTTCAGCTCAAGGCTAGTGCTCTACCACTTGAGCTTAGGTGGCACTTATGGCTTTTTCTGCTTTTGTGGTGCAGAGGAATCGAACCTTGGGCCTTATGCATGCAAGGCAAACACTCTACCACTGAGCCACCTTCCCAGCCCTGCGTTAACTTTTTCAGTCAAGGCTTGTACTCTCCCATTTGAGTCAACAGCTCCACTTCTGGCATTTTACTGGTTAATTAGAGATAAGAATCTCACATACTGGCTGGCTTTGAACTGCAATCCTCAGATCTTAGCTTTTTGAGTAGCTAGGATTACAGGTATGCATGCACCTGCCATCTTTTATAAGACTTTTTAACCTCTGGACTCTAAAAGACTATGAACTTCTATCATCATTGTAAATACTATATTTATAGATGCCTGGCCAATCTTATGACTTTAGTTAGTACATTTGAATAAATGAATAGGTAAAGAATACCATTTCACAAAGTCCAAAAAGTAAACCTTTAGCTGAGTTTTACTACAATTCTACATCTCAATAAAAGTTATCTAGAGTTTTCCAACATCACTTCAGAGTTGTTATAAATGTAGATGTTTCTACTTGTGCAATTAAATGCTTCTATTTGCATACCTCCCACACACAAATATTCTATTGTATATGAAAATACAACAATTATTAGATGTTCAAGAGTGTTTGAACCTTTCAATAACTTAGTCTTTCTGCAGCAAAACTGACCAGAGGAACTCCTCTACCACCCAAGAGGAAGTTGAACCTGTTCATTTCATCTCCACTACTAGATTTTATGATCATCATGGTAATGTGAAAAAGTCTCCATCTTGCTTCTCTGGTGCTGTTTGTTTATAAATACAGCTCTGAAATTCCATAGCAAACTCTCTGCCATGAATAACTGGGCTGTGCAGAGCATGAATTAAAAATAGCAAGCTCCACATCCACGTGATGGACTAACAGACTATAATTTTAAACAAAGTTCTCTGGCCTGACAAAGATGTAAATAGCAACCCAGGCTATAAAATCTGGCCTTCTTGGACAGCTGGATTTTCAATGAAAGTCTAAGTAATTCAAGAAGCTTGGATTTCAAATGATTTGAAAATGTAGACTGGAAAAAGTCAGACATGCCCTTGGCTTGATTTGGTTTTAGTTTTTGTTTGCCCCTAGTTCCACAAATGAGCTGCTTGTCTTTTGGGGACTGGTTTCGCTTAACATGATGATCTACACTTCCATCACGTTTCCAGCAAAACACCAAAAACAGCAACAACAACAGCAAAAACAATTTAAATCTATGATACGAGTATGACATATTGTCTTTATCTGTATTGGCACCTAGGCTGATGCCATAATTT